CCCCCCCCCCCCCAAATTTTTTCTCTTCGCTCAATTTTCCAGGGGTGGATCCTAAGTTGAACTTATTTAATTATAATCCTGACCATCTCTTAGTTTGGATGGATCTTACTATCACCAATTTTACACTTTAACGAATCGAGATTCTCCTATTTTTTTTACTGCCTCAACCTTTAAGACTAAACTAAGTTACTTGCCTCGTATCAAATGTATAGTTCTATCAACCAAATGTTTTGGGGCTCAATCAATGTAATTGTGCTTTTTCTCAATTATTATTGTTTTTCATTTTTTTTTTCAAACATCTTCTTATTTACTTTCTATATAATCCATGTAGCGAACTTTAGGCCGATGACTCTCAAGTCAGATGACCACAGGGCATTAGGTTTAAAACCCTTACAGGCTCATTCACTCGAGTTATACATGCTCGAAAGGATGATTTTATTCACACATAGATTAGTGCTATGTTCCTTTTCTTTTAGACATCCAGCCTCTAAACCAAACCCCTACCTTAAGACTTTCACGTCATCTTCGCCTCATTGGTTTTAGACAATCCACACAAGAAAAATTTCATGCACGGAACCCCTACTCATCTCAATGTTCCTTTGTAACAGTCCAACCACCTCTAACCTACTCTTTATGGATGGATACAATAGAGGTTATTTACGTTTAAATTATTATGTTCAACTCGTCTCTAAGTAATAAGCCAAATCTCCAACTTAATGTGTAAAACATAGATGTCGTGTATAAAAAATGTCAAGTTTCACATAAACAAGTATTGATTAATCTAATCATATAATATTTCCACAATTTATAGTCAATACTTATTTCAATATTCAAACCCACACAAATATACAAAACAATAAGAAAAAACTAAAAAATAAATAAAAACTACTAATTTTTTTCACGAACAATCACACAAAAAGCAATAATTTATACCAAAATATTGATGAATGACCAAAAGTGTCATGAAAATGCTATCATCCCCAAACTTATACAAAACATTGTCCTCAATGTAAGAGCAAAAATAATCAAAATAAAGTAGTGAGAATCAGAAACTCCAAGGGGATAGATACAGATAGCTAGTCCGGTTGGTAGTGTCATGGCAACCATAACTTTTCTTTGTTGCTAGGTTTCAATTTTCTATTTCAAGGATTTAAGATAAATATTAATGATAGCAAACAAGGTTTAAATATTTGTAATGTATTCATACCAAGAACTCTAATTTTCTAACATTAAGAAGATTAAAATCTAGGTGCAACCTTAAGAATGCATATCACATCAATGTAAGCTCAATGTAATGCTATGATGTTTACGATGAGCATAAATAAAATAAACTTAATAAGTAAACATGCCTAAATTACTAATGCAAATCTTAAAGTACTGTCTAAAATGTGTTAAAAATCGTTTAAATGTATGAATTTCTAAATTAATGCAATCCTTAAAACTACTTGTAATGCAATAGTTAATAAAAATAAGGAAAAATGGATAGGAAAAATGGGTTGTCTTCCATTAAGCGCTCTTGATTTATAGTCTCAAGCTCGACTTTTGCACAAGTATTTTATGGCACTTTGAATATAGCTTTGGAGGTCCTGCTTAGCTTACTCAAACTTTGTTCCATATTACAACTTTCCTCCAAATTTTAACCTTTCTCTGCTCCAAGTGGTATGATGTCTCCTCGTCACCCATTTCAAACTCAACAATATACACACCATCTCCTCATAAGGTTTAATCACAAATTCAATTTTTGAGCAAACGAGAGAAAGTCGAGGGATTGCATGCTAATTTCATTTTCTCTGAATGCTACTAATTTTTTTCGTCCATTATGATTAACTTTTCGATCTTTTCATGATCATCTTCTTTAATTGAAATTTTCCCGAATTCGACGTTTGTATCCAAAACTTTTGGCAAAGAAACAATAGCAAGTCCATGGAAAGTCTCCTCCTCTTGTTGTATTTGTTGGAAGTTCGATGGATCTGATTCCATTCATTGATGTTTATTAATAATCGGTGAAAGAAATAATTCCACGGGCAAATTACCCACGTCAAATTTTGGTGAGATAAATAATGCAATAGACAAGTTACCCAAAGTAATTTCATGAAGTTCACATTCCGCTTTTATATCTCATAGTCGCTGTCCCATAATGAAATCTCCTACAAGCTTATCTCTCTCATCAATTTCTTGAGCTGTCAATTATTGTTTCCTTATGATAAAGTCACATACAAGCATTTTGTTGAAATCAATCACAACCATATTTTATCCTATTATTTTTTATCATTTTTTTATATGCTTAAAAAAACAAAAACAAACTAAAATAGAAAAAAATTTACAAGAATACAAGAAGAAGTTCGAATTAGTGCTTTGATAAATGAAATTAAACTCAAATACAACTCTCGACAACGGCCTCAAAAACTTGTTCGTGCGAAATTTGCAAACGTACGAGATCGTTGACAAGTAATAGAATTAATGAGTTAAGAGTATCGTCACATAGGAAATAAATTCAATTTAAGTTTACTGACTTTTTTATGGGATTCGAATTATGTAAATAAAAAAGAGTTTGATTTTCTTTTATGTTAAATTAATCTAAGAAAGAGGTAAAAAAAAAAGTGATTTTTATCAATTTATGGAAGATTGTATTGGATCTTGAATCCGCTTATTGCTATCTATTTCAATTCTTGATTTGTATTCTAGTTCCGTTCATGCGTTATTGACAATCGATAGAACAATGATATATAATTTTCTTTTTCAAGAAAAATTATATATATCCTAAGCACGACCCTAATCTATTCCTAGTTCGAATTCGATGAATTAGAATATAGTAAAGTTTAGATTATCTATATGATTGCATACGTGATAAATGTTATTCCTAACATCTCTTGCACATATGTTAATTTTTCCGCGTTATAAACTTATTATGAGTTTTCCAACACTGTAACAAATAACTAATTATCTAATTGGTGACCAATCAATTAAATAATACAATGTGTATGTAAAATTAATCAACAAACACAAGAAATAAAATAAACTACTAGTTTTGAATTAAAACAAACAAACAATAGAATTCATTTTCATCAAATACAAAAGCGGATATAGCCTAACATGTTAATATATAAATTACAAAAAGAATAATAAAAAAATATCACCTGGATCATGAAATAATTCAAAGATATTGATTTTTCAAGCCCAATGTTGAATTCTTCAAAATTCTGATGTAATTGACATTCAATTCCTTGCTAGGGCTTGATTACTTCTCTCAAAATATAACAATTGTCTCATTGTTCTTGATGAATTTGATGATAATATTTTGTATGAAGAGGCAAGAGATGTTTTTTCAATGTGCAGCCCTTGTTCTCTAGTTGTAAGAGTCAAAAAATAGGTCAAAATCGCGTCTAATTTGGATTCCAAAATAGTTTAAATCACGAAAGGAAACTAAAGATTCGTCTGCGAAAATAGCGAGTGCTCGTGCACCGGCATAACTACCACGTGTGCACCGTAGAGCCAAATAGCTCTTGGGTTGGGGAAAATAAGGTGTCGCGCGGGCCATGAATTGCCCTCGCGCGCAGATGTTCGCTTCGGTTTGTCCCTGAGCAGTTTTCAGTATTTTGGCCATAACTTTATCTAGAGATATCAAATTGAGATGATTCAAATTGCGTTGGAAAGGTAATTCAAAGGAATACAATTCTTGTACAGTACAATTTTTCCAATTCGAACGTTTGCTATCCAAAAAATGGATCTCAAATTGAAGCTAAAAATCTGGAGCACAATTTCTTCGATTGGAAATTGATTTGTGAAAATATTTCCATTATATTTCACTCCTTTGACTTCCAATTGCATTCAATTGATCATATATGATTTTCAATCATCGTTTTGTGCCCCGAATCAACTATTGGATGTTTACACTTTGGTCCCTAAACTTTGAATTTTTTTCGTTTTCGCACGTTTTTTCGTTCATTTCTTCCAAATCCATCAATTTGTATTGAATTCAACCTAACAAACATAATTAACACAAAATTAAGCTATAATTCATCCAAATCACTAACAAATATTCTAATTTAATGGATAAATGTACAAAATAAACTTATCAAGAGGATCATATTCTCTCTTGCTTTTTCCATGCCCATCCAGAAGCCAAAGAATCAACAGTTCTCAAAAGCTTGCAAAAGTAAAGCTAGACCAAAAAACAAACAATTGGTGGGCATTAAATCTTGCTCAACGTTTTTACTCAAACTCGTCAGAATCATTGCATGTGAGCCTCAAAAGGTATAAAAGGAAAAGCAAATTTGAATATCTATAAATGGGTTCATCCACAGTTGACAAATTGCAGGTAAAAACCTTCAAATTTTTGTGTAAATTCAGCAAAATCCTCTAAAATGAAATTCTTCTCGTTTATCTTCATTGTCTTCCTCCTCCTACTGGTAGATAAATTTCTTCTAAACATCCTTGATTATTACATTGCGATGACACAGTTTAACTTTACAATATAAAATCTTTCAGGCATTCACAGAGGCATTATCGATATTAGGCAGTGATTCTGCATATTCTCCTACTCGGGTAAGTTATTTCGGTCTTGTTGAGGATAAAATTTAAATCTTAAATGGTCTCTCGTATGACAAGTTAAATTTAGTTGACACCGGGGCATCTAAGCCTAGAAAAGTCGTGTTGAAGAATTGAAGTCCTCATGCACGCGTCAAGTCTTCAGCAAAAATATAAATCTGTCAAGCCGGAAGATAAAATTGAGATGTATGAATTCTTCACGCTTGCAACATTTCAAGCATTTAAACGAGATGGTTCAACACTTATCTCGCCATATCTGTACTTGCATTATTTTTCGACGTTTTTGTCTCAAATATATCACTCTATAGCTAGTTTCTAATACTGCTTTTTGTACACAGAGGGATGAAGCAAGAAATGTAGGAATTCTTTTCAAGAAAAGCCAGCCTCGAAAAATCAGTAATTTATGCTTTATTTCATCTTCTCTTTTCTTTCAAAACATCAAATTCATGTAACAGAAGAAGGAATAAAATTATGTCTATTCTAAGTATTAAACATGTCCTAAATTGTTTACAGATTGCAGCTATGCGTGCTCAAGACGCTGCAGGGAGTCATCGAGAAAGAATGTGTGTAAACGAGCATGCAAGAGCTGCTGCGCCCGATGCCACTGCGTTCCGCCAGGAACTTATGGAAACAAAGGCGCCTGTCCCTGTTACGCTAGTCTAAGAACACATGGAAATAAGCTCAAGTGTCCTTAGAAACACTTTGGATTTGAGAGAGAGTAAGCCTTTGAACTTTAGATTTTGATGGAATAAATGATTGTGTAATAAATGAATGATGCAGCATTGTTTAGCATCATTATACGGTATGGTGTCATTTAGCACAATGTCTGCCCAAAATATCCATCTTCAATGGTGACAGAGAAATAGTTAGTTATAGTTGCAAGCAACAATTACAGGGACTAATCAAGATTTTTACATATTTGTGGTACTAAATTCTTAAAAGATCCGTAATTTACAAAACTACAGAAAAACTCGAATTTAAAGATCTTTTAATTGCATAATTAGCTTTCAGAATACATCATCTTCAGTATGCATTTGTTTAGTATAAAGAGTACTTACAAGATTGGAACCAGATTTTCACACATCCCTGTAACAGAGATCCAATTGATTGATCGCTAGTATAGAAAATCTCTGAATCGACAAAAATCATATACATGAAAATTAAGCTAAAACCGAGCCCAGCAGCGGGTGCATTGTGCTATGCAATCTCCCTTGCAATCAACATTGTAGCCCAATGCTTTTGGATTGCGAAGGAGGAGGTTTCTCAAAGATTTCCCTTTGATTCCCCATTCCTTCTCTAAAATCTGTACATTGGTTTTCAATTCATTTTCGAGGCTACATCCAAGTACCTCGGGAAATTTCTTCATAAGTTTGCCAAGATCATCATCCGTAAGGCCTAAACCCTTCAAATAATTCAGTATTTCATTTACTATCTCAATCCTTGGCACTTCCTTTTTTCGTTCTTCGCCCCAGTATGGAGAATGAATCTGGCCAAATGCTTTGCCTAGTGTTTTCTCTGCTGCCTCGTTTGTAAACCCGAATGCAGCCAGAGCTTGCGTACACGATTCCCACCTTTTTTTATCTTCATCACTCAATACTGCATCCTGAATTTCAGCAGTTGAATGTAACTCCCATCTCCTTGATGCAAATGTTGTTATCCGAGCCCCCCCTAAAACATCTAGAGGAACACAGTTTCGAACATTTACACTTACTGGTGGATTATTTGGGGCTGCTGAGCCAGAATCAGGCTGCAAGGGAATCAGGAAAATCACGTCAGAAAGTGATACCACCTTATATTAGAGTAACCTAATACATGTAACAAAGATGATTATTAGGCTCTACAAAGTCCAACAAGATTGTTGTGCTTTAAATTGCCGTAAAAATATTATGCAGATATGGAGCAATTGATTAAACCCATATGGTTTTAATCGAATGGCTGTTGTGTTCTTAAAAGAAATATTTGATTCATGTCTCTTTATATGTTGCGAATTTTGGTTTCAAGCTTTTATATTAAACAGATGGACCAATTTGTGAATCTAATGTAAGTGTTATATCCTAAATCCAATCAATTTTGAACATAAACACTTTTAATATATAATTTATGCATTTTATTTATAACAGATCTATTATTTAATTGAATTAATATTCTAATAAATTAAATAATAGAGTCCGAAGTTTCAAATCTTGGTAATTTGTTAATCACAAGGAGTTGTAATTGTGAGACACAAATTATATACGATTGAATCTTAAATTATCCTTGGTCGTAAGTAATAGCGAGATACGGATATTGTTATATATATAGACCATCACGTGTAACATTTCTCATTTGTGAAGTGAGTGCTGATCTCACAAGCTAAAGTGTACTAACATTTAAATGAAGAAGTGGGTGTTATGTAAAAGAACAAAACATTGGAGACCTGCTGAAGAGATTCCACATGGATAACTATCCGAGTGTCAGTAGTTAATTTCTAACGTTTTGTAGTAAAATTGGTCTTTCGACTTGAGGTCATCATAGTGCCTTATATGTGGATAGTCATACTTTGGTGATATTGAATGTTGTTCTACCAAGACTCACTAATACGGTATTATTCGGGTATGTCAAGAATCATATGAAATTTGTGAATGATCAATAAATGATTATCACTCTTAGATAGTAAGAGATTATGAGCATGTTTGGCAAAACTTAAAATCCAATTAAAATTGAAAATATAGCCATTATTGGGTCTCACTCGTCTAATAAAAATCAACAATAACGGCTAGCTTTTTAATTTAATCCGATTTTAATCTTTACCGAACACGTCCTATGATCTACATTTGATCAATAATCGAGATTGACACACTTCATATCTCGTAATTGATCAGATCATATTGATGAATGGATTATAATTTTACGGTAAACAAACAAGCATAATTTTGTCATACCACATGATATTTCCCTTCACATGTATTTTCTTGACACATTGCTAAATGTCAATCTGGGACGACAAATGTGAATTAATTAATCTAGGTGAATTAATAATAAATTAAAAGAGTATTTTAATTTATCTTATTTAGATTAGATCAAAATAATAATTCACGTAGTTAGTATCGTGATCGGGAACCTAATTGGTCACACACAAAAGGAGAATTGGAAGAATGAAATATACTAATTAATTAATTGACAAGTGTTGGATAATTAATTAATTTTATTACTTAATGAATGGACCATGTCTAATTAATTAGATTAATTAAACATTGGACCGGATTAAGTTCAAATGTCGGGTCAAGCCCACTTGGATTTCTACAAATAAGCTATAGGGTTTGAGAAATCACACAACACAATTATCTTGCTAGTATAAGAAAAGAGAAACCTTAATTCCCCCATTCTTGTTCTCTATGTGGATTTTCATTGGAGGCGGACAATTGAACAGCCGTGGATTGCAAATCTTGATTGTTCGTATTCAAGATAAGAAAAAGAATTTGCAAGAATTTAACAAATGTATAATTTATATCCCAGTTTCTTTCTAAACACAAAGAAAATCCTTGATGGGAATTGAAATATTATTTAAATTTCACTGTGCAAGTTAAGTAGATTCCCAACATCTAAGCCATTTATAAACTTGCCAAGAAAGTCCTTTTTCAATTACAACATATCACTCAACATTAATAGGTCAGATCTGTTCTTTTATTTTCTTTCCTCGAAATTTGTAATGATCTTTTGTGCAGATACAAGCTTACTTAACATAGACATAAGTAAGATTTTCAAAAAACATAACTTCGTTTCTGTAAATATATCTCGAAGTGATTTGAGCAAAGCATATAACTTGAGTAATTTTAATCTGAAAAACTTCTAGATATGACCAGCCTAAAATTCCTTCAATCCTCAAGATTTTAATGACAACAAATAAGCCTAGTCTTGCTCATGACGAGCTCATCTAGATCTGTCAATGCAACCTATGTATTCCAAGAAAGGAAACACACATCCTAAAGAAGGCATGTACGTCTAGTGCGGAGTGAGATGAACAAAGCGTGGAAGTATATAGGTTTGTATTTGAGACAAAGGTAGACGTTCAAATGGAAGACAAGCAACCTATAAGAATTAAAGAGGCCAAGAATGTAGTTTGGGTTGAAGAGACATTTGAGATTGTAAACAGTCTTAAGTCTTGTCGAGATTGTGCCTTGTAAAAATTGAAGAAAAGAGCCCAAGAATGCTATAGTTAAACTACTTTGAGTTGAAGAGAGTAAAAACAATGTAATGCAGAGTGGAAGCAGAAAATTGCCAAGCCGTACAAGTTTCAGACTATGAAAGTTCGGACAGACATCTGGGTTAGGCAAGGGAGCTTTAACATCCATAAATGCACAAGTCAAGCAGGTCAAGGATGCATGAATGTTGATTAACAGATGTCCTAAACAGCACAAAAAGAACAGATGTTATGGAGTGAGACGAACAAAGAGCGGAAGAAGTATATAGGTTTGTATTTGAAGAAAGGTAGACGTTCAACTGCAAGACAAACAACCTATAAGAATTAAAGAGCCCAAGAATGTAGTTTGGGTTGAAGAGGATGTGCTTGAGATTGTTGAGATCGTAAAAACTTTCAAGTCTCGTTGAGATTGTGCCTCATAAAAATTTATGAAAAGAGCCCAAGAATGCTATAGTTAAACTACTTTGAGTTGAAGAAAGTGAAAACAATGAAATGTGGAGTAGAAGCAGAAAATTGCCGAGCCATACAAGTTTCGAACTATGAAAGTTCGGACAGACGTCTGGGTTATGCAAGGGAACTATAACATCCATAATTGCACAAGTCAAGAAGTTAAGGATGCATGAAAGTTGATCAACAGATGTTCAATCGAAATGAGTAGAAAAAACCGATACCTATGGTGCAATTTTCAAAACAGTAGTTTTAAGGAGCCAAATGTCTCGTTTTATACAGACAGAGCTTTTGAAAGCTTGCGTCGTAGCTTAATCTGTAATAGATTAGAGCTATTGTTATTGCTTAGATGTTGGTCTAACCCACATACCAAAAATAAGGATATCTGCTGCTGTTATGCTGGCCTTCCAATAGAAATCTAAGGGTGAGCTGCTGAAGTTGATACAATATGCCAATCAAAAGTAGTTACGACTGATTTCTGTAAATTGGATTAGCCAGAAACTAATGCAAGTTGCTGTAGATTCCAAAAGGAGCGACCTTTTGGTATTGGACATGGGTTAGGAACCCGAACAATTAACAATATGTCAAATACATACAAAGTACATTTATATGCATCGTAAGATTTGAAACAGAACCAAGGCCTAACTAATTGTATGCCTGCCCGGTTAAGGAATAATCATCAAATCTGCTGACAACCTTGAAACCAATGTCTTTGCCAAGACCATTAGAGAATAAACTTCTTTGACATGTTAAATTGTGATAGAAAGAATCTTAAAAGAAAAAGAAAAAAGAAATGGACTTGACTACAAAAATACAAGGTATCATAAGAAATGAGGAGACAAAGCTCCGCTAAAAATGGAAGGGTGGTGCAAATGCAAAAGGTAGTGTTCAAATGCTGACGGGGGTAATAATAGCACATCTTTAGCTTTGGGAGGGATATACAGTGGAATATATTTTTTTTACAAAAATAGAGGAATGAAACAAGAAATTTGACATTCATGACTAGGGCCACTTGGAAGAGAAATGACTCGAACAAGGAACCAGGGAGGGAAATGTTATGAGCCAATATTTTCATGGACTAAAGAAAACTGTGCTACTTTGCCCTAATACAGTAATCTCTAAAGTAATATCGGGATAATTTCCTTTTCACTAAGAGGTTCATGGCACATAAACCTCAACCTAAGCAGGCTTGAAGTAAGTTTAAGACAGTTTTACGGGGTACCTGTATATAAATCCTAAAGCCCCATATATAAATCCCAGCATGAACTAGCTTGTTTCAATCCTATTAATCCATAATTTCCTTTTCACTAGGAGGTTCATGGCACATAAACCTCAACCTAAGCAGGCTTGAAGTAAGTTTAAGACAGTTTTATGGGTACCCGAATATAAATCCTAATGCCAATACATAAATCTCAGATGACTCGAGGCATGAACTAGCTTGTTTCAATAATCCATAATTAGTATTTTCATCACTACTAGAGAGAAATTAAAGAGACAGACCCATTTTCCTTGTCATGACGAACTGCACGAGAGTTGCGATTTGTCATTATCAGATGAATTAACTTCGTCAAGACAAGATTTTCAAGCTGAGTTCGAAAATCATCATGATCTGGATGTATTCATTAAAGAAATAAAAGTCTATCACATGGTATATAATTGACTACTCCAGATGTTCCAAGTGAAATCACTTCTATCTGTTTTAGTCACGATGCATGTTTTAACATTCTAAATATTATTTCCGAGTTTTTTCATATATCTGTTAAGAAATTACTTTTACTAAAAAACCGAAGATAAAATTGAAAATCACATAATAATAGAGAATTTATAAATTCTGAGAGAAGAACATTTAAGGAAATAGCACTCACAAAAGAGCAGATGCCCACTGTGGAATAAAATGTCAGCAAAGGAGAAGCCAACGATTTTCCCAGCATCCTCCTGTATGAAAAAAAAAATGTTGAAACAGGAACGTAAAATTTATCGAACACATCAGAGTAATAATTTTAAAGAGTAAAATCTACAACCACTTAAATTAAAAACAAGGCTACTCCTTAACCTTCTAAGATTAGAGCCCGAGACTCACCATTATAGTTCCAGAAAATACTAATACAATCAGCCAAGTTCTAAATTCCCTCCAATAGCATTTTTTAAGAGAAAAGAGAGAGAAGCACATGCACCCATAATTTCAAGTTGTAATAATTCAAGAAACTGAATAAAAAGGAGACGATTTCAACTGGGTTTGAAAAATAATTACGTGCATTCGTAAGTTCGTAAATATGTAGTGGATTTAGCAACCAAAAATCGTTCAGTTCAAAAGGGTTATGCTAATTTTGCATTAAAAATGTATAAATACCTTGGATTGTAGACGGAAATGGTATTCTCGAGGGGGAGAAAAAACAGAGGAAATCTTGATATCAGTTGACAACCCCACGGTTCAACGGTCAGAGATTAAAGGCATATCTCTGTATTGGCTGAGTCCCGAGATTCTACGGTGGGGGTGATGCTACATGTACCGAATTTGTTATCTAATCTTTTACAGAATAGTATTTTTAATTGTTGAAATTCTTTCTTTGCCCTTCCTTTCTCTATTTGCAGAATATGCCCGGTATCTCTTAATTATTAGATTGTTTAGAGTTATATCTTACAATTCTTCCGTTTGGATCGTAGGTTCTTAGAATTAATCATGGGAATCTTAATTCCATATTTTCTGGTAACCAAATCAAGTATTGTTATTGCTCGTATCGGTGATATCTTATAATTTTTAGGATTTTATCCCTCATTTCTATATTATTTTCTCTTATAAGTTTTTCAAAGAGTTTTCTAATTTCTCTAGATTTTAATTCACTGATATTATCTTGGATTTTTTCAAATCTTTCAATATTTTTTTTTCCTCTTAATTCATTAATCAGAATCTATACTATGTTCTTTTAACCTTTCTATCTGTTATAAATATTCTTTATTTTGTTAACTTTTCAAAAGCTTTAGGTTAATTTTTTTCAGTTATATATCCAAAAAACAATTATTTCTGAAACTTCTTCTTCTATATTTTCGTATTTAACTATAACATCTTCAATTTTCTTTATTTCTTTAATTGATTCTACAGAATCAATTCTTATATTATGTTTACAAGCATAATCTATATCAGAATATATTTCTTTAAGTTTTTCTTGGCCAACAGGAACTATATCTTCAAATTTTTCAACTATACTAAGCAAGAATGAAATATATTTTTCATCTAAATACAATTTAAGACAATTATCATTAGATGTGGATGCTTGTGAAGTGTTCATAAAGATCAATAGTAATTAAAGCATAAGAGAATAAAATCATGTAAATAACTTACAGTAATCAATGGAAATAACTAGGCTTTCCCTCCATCATGTTTTTATAGTCGCTTTGCATGTACTTAATCAATCTT